TAGCTCGAAGGAACCCCGCCTCCCTCGGCTGCAGGTTGTGGCCGCTCTGGAGCGCTGGGCCACCCGAGTGGGTGAAGCTGCTGTCATGGGGTGCAGGGGTGAGGCCTGGGGTCCTGCTCCACGAGGAGGGATCTTCACACCTGGGAACCGTGATCCTGCTGCAGCGCAGGGCTCTCTGGGGATGCTCCTGGCACTATCCAGGGATTCTCCTGGGGATGCTGCGGGATGCTGTTCCTGGGGGGATGCTCGTGCTCGCAGCAGGTGACACTGCTTCTTGCTGTGACTCCGACTTTCCCGGCCCCGTTGCCTGGTATCCTGCTGCCTCGTCGGGAAGTCTCATTCCCGCAGGCCCTTGCGCTCCGATGGCGCAGACCCGGCTGTGGCTAAAGCAGCTTATAGCCGCCGGGTGAGGGCATATGGGAGCAAACAGGATTAGGGAAAATCAGCCTTCTTCCCGCTAACGGGATTATTATTTTTTTTCTCCCGAACGCGTCGCAGCACTGCAGCCTGCGGGGCTCCTCCAGAGCGGGATGGGACGGGATGGGACGGGATCTGCCTGGGCATGGCACAGCTGAGGCTCTGCCAGGCACCACAAAGGCACCCAGACATGTGACGCTGGTGACGCAGCCGGGTCTGTCCCCCGGGCCGCAGCTGGGCACAGTCAAAGCCTCCATTCACGGCCGTGCTGGGAGCCGCTGGCGCCGTGTCCCGCTGCTGGCTGCTACGACCCGTGTCTGGGTTTTCCCCTCGCTCCCTGCTCTGCAGCAAGGGAAGTGCTGCCGGGTCCCGGGCTTGGTGCCCCGGAGCTGCGCGTTCCCATTCCCGCTCCAGGCAAGCTTTTGACGTGTGTCATACACCATGCTCCGTGTGTCATGGATCATGCTCCTTGTGCCGGGAATGGAGCGCCGTGCCAGTGAGGCTGAACCACCAAAGCATCGCCCCTGCTTCCCGGGGGTCCTCAGCTGCGGGTGACAGGGACAAGGGTAGGGCTGGCAGCGCGGCAGGAGCCCTGGGGGGACTCGCAGGGTCTGGGAGGGCAGGACAGGGGGCTGCACGGCAGGAGGGGCCCCTGCATAGCCCCATCTCGGCCCCTGGGCTGCAGCGTCCGGGTTCGGGTCCGGGTTCGGGTTCGGGTCCGGGTCCGGGTCCGGGTCCGGGTCCGGGTCTTCGCCACATGTCACCACGTGTCGCCAGGG